CAAAGCAGTAAGATGAAAGGAGGTAAAAGAAGTGCTGTCACGCAAGTGACCCATGAAAAACTATGCAACAGTTAGATGCTGTACTCAAACATGTCTGTTTCTTCTTTATTACGAAGCCTAATGAGGTCTAATGCTCCAGTTGCTGATGAATAAAAGCCACTTGTAATACAGTTACAAGTTGAAGCAAGTTATGAGAGTGAAATAATAGACTAAGCCATACAAATTGTCTGCACACCATTAGAGAATTGCTGCATAAGCTGTTTAAGCCCATTAAAAAAAACAACTTCCTTACTCAGCAGAATGAATTCCTTAGAAATTTCTCCTTTATATATTTCTACCTTATTTCTACCAACTTTTCTACTTGAAATAAGTAAGTTGATATTAATTTGTTAATTCAGACAGATGGACAAGCCTTAATATAAGGTCTTTTAATAAATTAATGTTTTAAGGTTTAAACCCATCACATGTTAAATTAAAAAAAGACTTTTTTGAAAATCATGCACATATAATTTAAATTATTATTCTGAAATCAAAACATTTGCAACTTTAATATCTTCTGTAGAGTTATTGCCAGAATGACACAGCTCACTGACATCATTAATCTTCACACTCTGGTATATCTTAAAGATGTTACAGTTTATTAATAAACCAGATGACTCATGAGCAGCACAGAGAGAGCACTCACACACACACCAAAAAAATCAGTTAGAACTAATGTTAGCATTGGTGTCAAGTCAACAGGTTACATGGACTAAGAAACTGCAGTTGCTAAAAAATAAGGTTAGTGATTCTGTTTCCAGCAGCTATTAAAAGCTGGCCATACACTATTTCAAAATGCCCTACATTACTTTGGTGTAAGCACAAATTAAGTAAATTATTCAGATTAAGGATATTTTCCACATCAGACTTAACAAAAGACTACTTAAGATTATTAGGCCACAATTTGCACACGCTACAGCTACTAAACCACCTGAAGTAGATTTACCAAATTACAAGGTTATAACATTTAGTGAGAGAAGCAGCAGTGCTGGATAGGTCATAAGAAGGAAACAGAAAAAAAAGAACCCAAACCACAACATTTCAATCATGGGGGAAAAAAGCATGTTACTTTCTGCAATTTTCAGACAAAGAAAGAAAAAAAAAGTTCCTACCCTTCAGCCTAGCCTGTTTAATTTTAGAAGTTTCTAGCTACTCCATCAGCCTTGATGGTACACTCAGGTAGCCTCTCCCTTCAGTGAGTATTTCAATGGGCTTATTAGCAAAATCCCAACTACTAAAACCTCGTTAGTTTTATTGTCACCACATCATTCTCCTTTGCTCCTTTTCCATCTTATTCTATCATCTGAAACAGCTGTTTAGGCCCTAAACCATACCATAACTCTTCACTCTGGATAGTCATTGGTTATACAATGATTACCAATAAATTGGAATTTGAATATAAAAATTAAAAAAGCCTCCTAAGATACTGCAACAGAGCAGAAATAACATGTAACATCATGTTGAGAATGGATTTTTTTTAATCATAGGAAAAATCAAAACAAATTCATGTAGTTCAAGCCAAAAGCTAGTATTTTAAAACTGTATACTTCAACTTAATACAAAATTTAACAAATTAGAATGTTTTATCAATATATGCAGAAAATAAATATGCCCTAATGGACTTTTTGGGAAAATACATTTTCATTAATTATGATGCAACTTTTAGCATAGAATCACAGAATGGTTTGGGTTGGAAGGGACCTTAAAGACCATCCAGTTCCAACCCCCCTGCCATGGGCAGGGACACCTTCCACTAGACCAGGTTGCTCAAAGCCTCATCCAGCCTGGCCTTGAACACTTCCAGGGATGGGGCATCCACAGCTTCTCTGGGCAACCTGTTCCAGTGCCTCACCACCCTCTCCGGGAGAACTTCTTCCTGATATCCAACCTAAATCTTCCCACTAAATTTAAACTATTTTATTAAAATATTGATTTTCACCCATGTGGACCTAAAGACCCTAAGAGACCCTAGGAGACCCTAGGTTCTAGGGAGATAAAGTATATGTGATGGGCTAGAAATGTTCCAATCCCAAAGATAAGAAATAGTGTTTTCATTGCAAGTTCGCATGACATGAGATGGATAGAAATAAACTGTAGTCCTGATTTCACATTCTCACCCAGGCTTCATTTCATCTTTGATTTCCTTCATGCAAAAAAGCAAACCTGCCAAAGATAAAACTTTAATTAGATTTAATAAGACTTTACATATAACCTCCTGACCTCTGGATTACAGGTTAAATATGAAAAATGTATGCTAGATCAACTACTTCTGCTTCCTTATTTCTTCACAGACTGGGAGATTTTTCCTTCAAGGAGAACTGCTTCCCAAGAGCTTCTTGTTCACAGGAAATTTTCACAGATATTATACACCAGCTTTGCAAGAGGATCTACATGTTCTTAAATCAAAGGACTCCATGAAATTAACTGATGTTCTGACAACAGCTCTATATCAGGAAATATCTGACCCAAAACCGGCTAAATAGACTAGATAGCAGGTACAGCCAAAAAGGCAGAGGTAAGAATTCACAGCTCGAGTGTATGTGTTAGAGCACAAACAAATAGGTGAAGCCATACACCCACGCTTGCATCTGTTGCAACAACTGCCAAAATAAAAGAAAACGCAGGGGGGTGACACACTGCCACTCTCTTTTGGTCTTGGCCTTACAGCTTCTCCTCAGAGGAAGAGGATCCCTGTTGTCTTCACCTCCCTGCGTGGCTTGTCCGGAGAAGCAAGGTCATTTCTCCTGAATGCCGCCTTTCAGAGGAACAACTGACAAATAGGCTTTTAATAGCAAAGAGTACAAAAATCATATCGTTTAAGAGTTCCATGTATATACTTAGATGAGTTTCATAAAATAACGTCTCGCTGTTGCCAGGACTACAGAATCTTTCCCCACCTCTTCCCACCCTTCAGCGAATGCTGCTCTCCAACCTCCGGGGTAAGCCAGCAGTTCCTGCTCCCCAGCCCCAGACAACACCTCAGAAACTGATAGCCAGTGCCAGCTATGACTATGAAGAGCATGACCTTTCAATGAAGTCCTTTTTTTTTTTCTTGTAAATTCTGACTCTCATTCTTAGGGACTACACTAGTCCAGTACAATGGGCAGGAAGTCATTCTGACTCTGCAATTCCACACACTCTTCCATACTAACCTCCAACTATTTATTCCAGGAAGAAACTTCTCCTGACCCACAACTTCCAGTTAAACCAAGCTGACAAAGTCATACAGGAGAAAAAAACCCCACAAAACCAAACAAAAAAGCCCCACATACACACAAAAATATCCCAAACCAGTATGATTATTTAAAAGCATCTAAAAATTTTTGAGTTGGGGGAAAAAAAAAAAAATAATCAAGTGACAAATGTGAAACTTCAGTTGTAAACGGCAGACTAAGTATATTGTGTGCTTCGTCTTGCCAGTTAGCAAACCAATTCTCCAGGGCTAAATTAAAAAGAAATTACTGCTGGAACAATACCACATGAAACAAAGAAGGAAAAATGTTACGCAATACAAAAAAAGGAATCACTACGTTTTTTAAAAAGTATTCCTTCATTCACTCATCTAATTACGCATAGAATTTAGGGACAGTAAAGGTGTTAGGTCTTAAATACAATGGAGTGCAAAAGTTATTGAAAGTATTTATTGTCCAAAGTTTAACAAATGTCTAATAACCACCAGCACGTGGCTAACTTAAAAATGGCTAACAGTGTAAAAAGGATTCTAATACCTCGAGGAAGCCATTTTATTCCTAATATCAAACCGTATTAATGATTTATAAAATGCAATACTACCATGAAGGGTAATATACATACTGTAAGATATATCAAGCATCTGAAGACAGTCAGATTATTCTGTCTTCTTTCCTGGAAGCTTATGTGGGTGTATCCATGTAGATAAACATACATGTACGTGTGTGTGCATAGAAATATACACACACAGGCATGCATATGTACACACACACAGATACACACACCCTTTCTTTTCCTTATATTTGAGTTTGGCAAGAAAGGATCTGAACAGCGTAACAAAGCTTTGTGAAATTTCTAAAGGCTTTCCGTAGCTGCAGTTGCACAGCGTGGGTACACCAGCAGGCACAAGCAGCTTGTTAAAATCCCTCCAGCTATTTCAGTGTACCACACCCCTCTTATTCCAACTCTCTTCTCAAAGCAATTAACAAGTAACCCCAAATCATTTCAAATAAATATTTAAATCCCTAACTAGCCCCATTCTGAAGCAAGCAGCGCACGGTAGCTATTGCAATTCCACCCCCTCAAGCCTAAATGCAATACATCTGACTCACAAATGCGTCATTCACCTGGGGGGTACAAAGACGACAGTCTCACTTTAAAGCCTGTTTTCTTTGCATCAGGCAACAGCTAAAAGCGCCTTTAAGAGCCAAGCAGGTTCAGAAAACAGTTATTACTTCCTTGAAGTATTTTTTTCTTCTAGAATGCTCCTGTATTCCCCTTCTACTGAATTGAACAGAAATGCAACTGTTTCAGAGAAAAGGAAGAAAAAATGTACTCAAATCCATCTGGAAAAAAAATAAACCTCAAATCCCGGGTTACACTGTTTTCCCGACAATGCATTCCTTAGCTTTTCCAAATAATATAATCATCTGTTCTTCTTCAATTGAAGTGCCAAATACATTCCAGGAGTATGTTTAGAAAGATCGAACAGCAGACGACCTTCTGTAACAATCCTGTTTATGGATTGCAAATTCTTCAGATCTATCGATACAGACCTAAATCATATCCTGGATATGAATCCCAAGCTTCAACATTACAGCTGCATGCACACGTGTATTACATGTCACATACATGCACTAACATCGTACAATATCACAACAAGGAATATTCATGTCTGTACATAGCAGAAGTTAAAAGAAACATGGTATCCTGATTTTAGTTTAGCTTTCAATTAGCAGATAAAATTATTCATGAAACAAGTTTATATTTACCAGGGATGAATGAATCAATATTCCTGAATCTTCACTTGGCAAGCTGAATGCTGTGTATTCAAGGGCATTGTTTTCCCCTTGCTGTTTACAAATATAACCACAGTTCCTCTCAAAAACTGTACGAATGCCTTTAAACAGAACCACACTTGTAGTACAACCCATTCCAAATCTGTTGAATTTTGCATTTCTAGCAGCCCTGATTGCATTTGCAGAATTTCTTCCTTTGCTCGACTCGAATAATTTTCCTGTGCTTCACAGAAACATCTCTTTGTACAATCTTCATTACGTCTGACATTTAGTATGTTCCTTGACTAGAAACCATCAGCTACTGAAATGTAATCCTATTTGCTTAAGCCAAACTGCCAAAAATCCAGCCGCAGAAGACAAAAATCAGAGGGTGATGAAAAGCAAAGGATACTTCAGCTGTAGAAGATAGGAGGCTTTCAGCAGGTGCTGTACTCCGCAACAGAGACGAAAAGATATTCCAGAGGGTCAGGGAGAGAGCTCCTGTATTTCAGAGATCCTTAGAACATAATCAAAGATGAAAGGAAACTGCAAAGATACTGCTGCAGTTTCTGCTGCCAGCCACAAAGAATCCTCATCTGCTGCAAGAAAGCACTCTCCCAGAATGCTTAGCACAGAGTTCGTACTGGCAAACATTTCTTTGCTTGACCTATATGTGATTTTCAGTGTTTAAAAAAAAAAAAAAAAACCCACACCTCAAAACATGAGGGGAGAATTCTTAGATCACTGCTGCTATGGTGGTGTTATATAAACCTACTTCAGTCAAATCTCCGTGTTATCAGCATGTTATTATCAGTTCAGGCAAACCACAAGGGAGCTGAAAGCTGTCTTTACTTTTTCATTTCTTCCCTGCATGCAAAGGTATCAGTCAATTCCCATCTGCCAGAAGCTGACTTTATCTAGTCCTTGACTGCAAATAGCTGAGTCATTAAACAAAAAAAAAA